CAACTGGTGGAGTGATGATCTGTGCTTGTTTTGCAGCCACGGGAGCCTGGGCACCTTGCAGTCATTGAATCGACAATGAACTTCTCTGTCTACCAAAGTATTCTAGAGTTAAATGCGAGGCCATTGGTCTGACAGCTAAAGCGTGTCACAAATTGGGTCATGTGACAGAACAATGAGCCTAAACACGTCAGCTAATCTGTAACAGAATGACTGAAAAAGAGTGAAGATGTTGCAATGGCCCAGTCAAAGTCCAAACTTCAACCTGATTGAGATGCTGTGGCAGGATTTTAACAGAGCTCAATGAAGTGAAGCAACTTTAAAAAAACAAACAAACAAAAAACAGTGGGTCAGTATTCCTCCACAATATGAGATTCTGATAAAGCAAAACAAAGCAGAAAGACTTCAAGTCATTGCTGCTACAGGTGGTTCTAGAAGCTACTGAATTATGAGGTGTGTATTAATAAATTTTGAGGTGCTGTAAGACATTTTTTGGGAACCCTGAAATTTGAATAACTTTTTTAAACCTTTAAAAAATGGAGGCTTTGAGACAGTGTGGTCACCCGAATGCCAATCACTCTCATATCTTTTGGACGTGTACACAATTGACCTCATTTTGGGACAGTATATCCAAGTTAACAGATGACATCATGTCCTATGCATCCCTAAGGATCCCAGGATCTTCCTACTTGGTTTTCTACCCAGAGATTTGATTCTAAAAAAGGAAAGATATATTTTTTAAATCCCGTTGATCGCATCTGAAAAGGCCATAACAAGGAAATTCCTTAAGAAGGATCCTTCCCGAGTAGAGCAAGTGCTAGAGATTATAGAGGAAATACATCTGATGGAGACTGACTTTCTTTCTACGACTTAAAGGTCATCTTTTTCAACAACTTGGACTAAACGGCATAAATATAAGCAAAGGCTTGAAGATTCTGGATGATGCTTGGAACAGTGCCCCAATTTGTTCCCCTTTTATTTTTGTCTTTTATTGTTGTTTTTGTTATATTCTTGTCACAATGAAAATTCAAAATAAAAAGTTGCAAAAAAAACAAACCCTGAGGCTTTGAAAATGAATACAATTAATTGACATTATGATCTAATCCACCCATCCATTCAGCCTAGCTTCTGCTTATCCAAATTCAGGCTGTGGTGGCAGCAGGTTATGCAGGGCCCTTCTTCCCAACAACACTTTCCACTTCCACCTGGGGATTCTGAGGCATTCCCAGGTCTGAAGACAAGAAATACATGCAACAAATCTGAGGTCTACCCCAGGGTCTCCTTCTAGTTGAGTATGCCTGGAAACCATCCAATTGGTGAGGCATCCTCACCAGATGTATAAGCCAACTCAATGGAGTCAGTTATAATTTATAATAATTATAAAAATAAATACCATATAAGTAATAATAATGTTTGCTAAATAATTGTTTGCCTTTTCAAAGCTTTCATGAGATATTGCAAAAAAAATTGCAACTATTTGTAAAGACTGACCAATAAAAGTCTGCAGGTTACAGAAATTCAGTATCAACTTCGTCCTAATACTAGATTGAGTTAGATATATGGGTGTGTTGTGTTCAGGAGCATTTAGGAATCGTTATTGTAAGACCTGTGAACAGTCAGAGTAATAAAAAACAATATCAGCCCTGTCAGACTGGTGAATTAAGATTCTTCATTGTCAGTTTAATTTATTTATACAGGTTTTTTTTAATGTAAATTCGGTGAAAGGGTGGTGAGGTCACGTGTCTGCGATTCGTTTTAAAGCAGCTTGTAGAG